GGTTGGACTAAGTAAGGTAGTTATTTAATTTGAGTGGTTATTTAATTCAGTTGTGATTAGTAGTAGCCGGCTGTAAAGTGGTATAAGTATCTAGAACCAGAGCAAGATGTTACTGAGCTGAAATTAATGTCTGACAGGCTCAGGCGGTGATATTAAATTCAGGGTGACATTAATTTCAGCGTGATATTTACTTCAGTCTTGATCTTTAGATTATTAAATCGTTTGCTAGCAGCCATAAATAAAGCTCACTACTTTAGCAGCCACTACTTTGCAGCCACTAAATAAAGCTACTTAGACTGGACCTCTGTCAAGTTGAACTAACTGATTCAGATTCGTTAGCTACAAGAAACTGCAGCTTGATAACTAATTACAAGAAACTGCAGCTTGATAACTAATTACAAGAAACTGCAGCTTGATAACTAATTACAAGAAACTGCAGCTTGATAACTAATTACAAGAAACTGCAGCTTGATAACTAATTACAAGAAACTGCAGCTTGATAACTAACTACAAGAAACTGCAGCTTGATAACTAATTACAAGAAACTGCAGCTTGATAACTAACTACAAGAAACTGCAGCTTGATAACTAATTACAAGAAACTGCAGCTTGATAACTAATTACAAGAAACTTAATCTTGATAACTAATTACAAGAAACTGCAGCTTGATAACTAATTACAAGAAACTGCAGCTTGATAACTAACTAATTAAATATGAAACCTCGATATACTGATATACCGAGCTATATTTCAACTATATTTCAGCTATATTTCGGCTATATTGCAGCTAAAGGTCGGCTATATTACAGCTATATTATTTCAGCTATAATTATATTTAACCCGCCCAGCTCTTTATTGGCACAGCCTATCATGTTTGTAGGTATGTGACTTTCGATTATTTATTGAAGTGACCTTTTCATCAAAGCTAGTTGTCTATTTTTTCGTGGAAAGCTCGTGTAATCCTGGTTTTTGAATTCCGAATTCAATTAAGAACTTAGGAACTTAAGAATTTCAGTTATAATAATAGTGCACACACAAAATTTTCCTACTAAATAGCTGATTTGAATCTGTCTATTATTTAAAATGTTTGGAGACTCTGCAGCTTCCAAATTCAAAATAAAATCCTTCTAAAGATGAAATGTCGGGCATTTCTTGGAATTCTAAATATTCGTTTATAGAACATGGAATGTTCCGAACTGCAGTTCTAGAAATCTAGCCGTTCTACCTCTGAAGTCTGTATTAACGCTTTCAAACAAAGTTACAATGAATTCTCCATGTAGTGCATCCTGGGTATGTATTATTTAATTTTTATTACTAAATGTGATACAACTAAACAACTAACAAGTAAGTTATTCCTCTAATAATGGGAGGACGTTTCTTTGACAGCTGGTTTAAAAACTAAATGATTGGATAAGGTCAACTATTTTTTCTGTAAAATCATTATCAATGATTAACGTTGTTGCCAGTTTTAATAAATGTTATCATTTCTAGTTGTGAAATTGTTTTACGACTGATTTTTAATTCTTTAACTAAGTTGACGCCTACAAATTATAAAATTTATCATACAATGGAGTATACAATTTATCTTGCTATTTCATAATATTATGTAGTATCAGCTTGTCTAGAAGTTTGAAGTACTATCGAGAACATTCATTACATTATACCTCACCTCGAAGCTTGAAATAGTATAGTGGGTATTATAGTGTACTTAAGTCCTCAATCATATTATGAAGCACCCCTAAGACTGAAAGTGCTCCTCAACCTGAAATGGCTTCTCAATCTCATGAACCACACCCAGTCCTAGTCCACACCTCGTATGTTACCACTGCATATACATTATACAATGTACATTGTACATTGTACGCCTCACTTGGCTTACTGCTTGCTGTTTACTAACTTACTACCTGGTTATTAGATTACTAGCTGGTTACTAGGTTACTAGCTGGTTACTAGGTAACCAGGTAACTAGTACCACAGCACAGGTGTTATCACCACCCCCACATGTACTGTGTACAGTGTACAACCAACCTACCTAATGATAATCCTCATGTGTTGGAACACGGATGTAGTCTTTCCACTGTGGTCAAGTAAAACCTTTCGCCGTGTTATAAGACGGTGTTGTATGTTTAAGCAAGATACTGCTAGATTTAGATTATGTTCATTTAGAAATTTAGTTTCTTTTGGTACCCTAATTCACAGCCGTGTAAACTTTTAAGACGACCTTAATTTCTGTGATTATTCGTGTAAATACTGTTAAAAATACTGTTTTTGATTTATCAATTTTATGAGACAGTTTTCTCACATACCGTATTTACCAATTTTGTCAGCATGAAGACGAAGTTGTTACTTTGAAACGTCGTTTATCCTAACAGTGCAGTATCGTTTGTCGCAAAAAATCAGAATAATCAGAAATTATTTGGAACTCCCAAAAACTGTCTAAGAAACATAGGATTACAAGTGAAACCCTGAATTCACTTGTAATCCAAATTTTTCTTTGAACAAAAGTTGACTGTCACTTTACTGACAAAACATGCATGATTATAGAGTACTTCAAGCGTTTAAAATTGATGCAACTTATAACAATAAACTATCAATTTTGACAGTTCATCGTTTTGGGCGTTTTTTAGTTCCGCCCTTGTGTCCATGCTGAAGTGAGTTATCTTGTCCGCCTTTTAAGAAAGTACCGCCCTCGTGTCCTCCACCCCTCGTGTCCTCCACCCCTCGTGTCCTCCACCCCTCGTGTCCTCCAACCCTCGTGTCCTCCAACCCTCATGGCCCTGAACATTTTTCTCTGAGGAATGATAAGGTGACGATTTTGTGGTGTAACACACTTTTTTTGATCCCCATGAAATCCCCATTCTGGGATAATATATCAATGTACTTAAACGCTCTGCGTGTCATGAAGAGACCTCCATATTTCAGAGTGCAGTAATATTCTTTTGTCTGTCTTAATGCCTACAGTATGTACACATCTCCTTATCGTTGACATGAGAGGCTACCACAAGAAGACTGTATATAATTCAGTCCAGCATGCTATTTATATCTTACTATATTTGCATTATATATATATTTATATATTATTTATAATACAAGCTCCAGCAGCAGTACTTGTATCTGACATTGCTGTGGTACCAGCTCCAACAGCAGTATAATGCTGTGCTACCAGCTCCAACAGCAGTATAATGCTGTGCTACCAGCTCCAACAGCAGTACAATGCTGTGCTACCAGCTCCAACAGCAGCACAATGCTATGCTACCAGCTCCAACAGCAGTATATTGCTGTGCTACCAGCACCAACAGCAGCACAATGCTATGTTACCAGCACCAACAGCAGCACAATGCTATGCTACCAGCACCAACAGCAGTACAATGCTGTGCTACCAGCTCCAACAGCAGCACAATGCTATGCTACCAGCTCCAACAGCAGCACAATGCTGTGCTACCTGCACCAACAGCAGTACAATGCTATGCTACCAGCTCCAACAGCGGTACAATACTGTGCTACCAGCACCAACAGCAGTACAATGCTGCGCTACCAGCTCCAACAGCAGCACAATGCTATGCTACCAGCACCAACAGCAGTACAATGCTGTGCTACCAGCTCCAACAGCAGCACAATGCTATGCTACCAGCTCCAACAGCAGCACAATGCTATGCTACCAGCACCAACAGCAGTACAATGCTGTGCTACCAGCTCCACTAGCAGCACAATGCTGTGCTACCAGCACCAACAGCAGTACAATGCTATGCTACCAGCTCCAACAGCGGTACAATACTGTGCTACCAGCACCAACAGCAGTACAATGCTGTGCTACCAGCTCCAACAGCAGCACAATGCTATGCTACCAGCTCCAACAGCGGTACAATACTGTGCTACCAGCTCCAACAGCAGCACAATGCTATGCTACCAGCTCCAACAGCGGTACAATACTGTGCTACCAGCTCCAACAGCAGCACAATGCTATGCTACCAGCTCCAACAGCAGTACAATGCTGTGCTACCAGCTCCAACAGCAGTACAATGCTGTGCTACCAGCTCCAACAGCAGTACTATTTACACTCCCAACTGTACGAACTGGTAGCGGACTAATTGAATGTTGAAAGCTGTAATTCCATGCCTACACTCGCTAGCTGACACCGGACTACTAGTTGTCTTTTTGGACTCTGTTGCTGCTGAGTAATGTTCCCGCTAGTAATGTTGAGTAATGTTCCCGCTGGTAATGTTCAGTAATGTTCCCGCTAGTAATGTTGAGTCATGTTCCTGCTTGTAATATCGAGTAACGATTCCGCTGATAATGTTGAGTAACGTTCCCGCTAGTAATGTTGAGTAACGTTCCCGCTGATAATGTTGACTAATGTTCCCGCTGTTAATGTTGAGTTATGTTCCCGCTAGTAACGTTGAGTAATGTTCCCGCTAGTAACGTTGAGTAATGTTCCCGATAGTTTATTTCTTCCTACAATTAATGGGCCCTGTCAAATGATAGCCCGCTATTTTTTACCCCTTGCTACAATAACCGGTATGAGTACACTAACCCTTACACTCGCTAGCATAAATCCCCGATATTCTATTCTTTCCTACAATTAGCAATTATCATATATCATATCAGGCCATGTTTTGCTGTGGCCTAGAACAAAGGACCAATATGATTGTTCCCGCTATTTCGCCCGCCCCCGTACAGTAGATAGTGTGTCGGGTTTGGGATACAATAACTATTTTCAATTTCTCTCTTGTTGTTGATCACGCGTTATCATCGAACTTTATCCACCATTAGTGATATACGGCATCACAATCTGGGGCCTAATAAAGGAATCGCCCTGAAACCACATTTCCAATCCCCACTTCAAACAACACTTCAAACAACACTCCAAACAACACTCCAAACAACACTCCAAACAACAATTCAAACAACACTTCAAACCGCACTCCAAACAACACTACAAACAACTCTCCAAACCCCACTCCAAACAACACTCCAAACAACTCTCCAAACCCCACTCCAAACATGAAACAACACTCCAAACAACTCTCCAAACCCCACTCCAAACCCTACTCCAAACCCTACTCCAAACAACACTCCAAACAACACTCCAAACCCCACTCCAAACCCCACTCCAAACAACACTCCAAACCCCACTCCAAACCCCACTCCAAACCCCACTCCAAACAACACTCCAAACCCTACTCCAAACCCCACTCCAAACCCTACTCCAAACCCTACTCCAAACCCCACTCCAAACCCCACTACAAACCCCACTACAAACAACACTCCAAACCCCACTCCAAACAACACTCCAAACCCCACTCCAAACCCTACTCCAAACCCCACTACAAACCCCACTACAAACAACACTCCAAACCCCACTCCAAACCTCACTCCAAACCCCACTCCAAACCCTACTCCAGATTACCCACCACGTTACCACCGACTTGTGAAACCTCTTCCAACATGGTACATGACAAGAGAAGATGACTTAACCCTTAGCTGGATATACATCTAAACAATAGCCAGACCTTCAGTCATGGGCTTGAAACTGGTAATAACGCCCTATAAGGCTTAAATACCCTCCATGAAATAAACATAGAGCACAGGCGTGTACGATTCAGATTTTGCTAGCTAGTATTTGGGTACAGTATTTGTAATGTGAACTAATACAGTATGGCGGTCTAGGCCCGGCTTTTAACGGGTGGAGAGAGAGAGAAAGAGGGGGGGGTTGGGGTTGTCCAACCCCAAAAACTCATTCTACCTAAAATTTCCATTTTTGGGAATGGGGTTTTTCTTGGGGTTTTTTTTCAGTTTTGGTAACGTTTTATCTATTTCGACTACATTGAAAACAAAACCCCTAGGCACTCTTTTCAATGTTTTCTAATCAAGTAAGAGTTCACTGGCCCCTCAATTCTAAAATATGTTCTTTAAAAAATCCAAAAAAACCCAACTTTACCTGAAATTTCCAATTTGGTAATGGGTTTTTTTGGGGTTGGACACCCCCCAGTAACAGTTCACTGATCTATACTGGCCCCTCCCCTCCTCTCCCCTCCAGAAGATAGAGGGTTACAACTAGTGAGCAGATCTGATTACTACCTGTAATAAAGTACTATCACTAGTAATAGTAGTAGTAGTAACCACTACCATGACCAGCGGGTATAGAGTATACTGGGGATATCGCCCGCCCGGATATGATTTATCATATTCATATTGATAATATTAATAACCTCTACATATAATGACTATTAAGAGAGTTTGTCTCAGTTTAAATCCACATGATCACGAATAAATATCCAATCCAACATAAGTATACTATTTAACTACCTGCTAGATGAATTCAATTAATTCCCGTCTGGATTACGCTAGTAGAGATGACTTCGCGGAGATTTCGGGTTTGCAACTGGAAACGGAGCGAGATTATGCTTTATTAAACTATTTTACGTGGTAATTTGTTACTTAACATATCTTACTCAAACTAACAAACATGGGGATTGGGGGGTGTTCAACCCAAAAAAAGAGAAAAAAGATAAAAAGAGAGAGTAGTGAGTATTTGCTTGGTTGTGTTTCTTTGTAGGTCTGGGCTCACAACTGTCCAGTAGGTTTGTCAACCGATCTCCATATTTAGGGTATATAATCTTGCATATGCGATATTTATTTCTTGCCATGTCAGCCTAATAATAATCTTGGTATCTTGTTTAATCTAGCAGACTGTGCAGAGAACGAATCTTCCAAAGTATTAATTCAACTTTATAGTTTATTGTATATTTCGGTAAGCGTGGTCTACCAGCTAGCCGAGAATACAAAATGAAAAGATGTTATGCAAAATGAAAAGATGTTATGCAACTAAGGTGTGGACCGGCTGCATCTGGTTTAGTATATTATATAAGTGTTTAGTTCTTCATGTTATTCACGTCAGAACACACCTTGCTGCATTTCAATCAGAGTTTAATATTCTCAGATTTCTTTCCTCCCTTTCTATCAGCTTACTCTTTAAGATATTATTACCATTAGAATAATGGTGAGCGTAGTGTCTAGAAACAGTAAACACCGTAATCTTTCCTCTGTTCTCAAATGTTTGCCTTTCTAATAAACATTGACCTGAGGCGGAATTTCATTAAAATTGTGATAGACGACCTTGCCCTTAGGCCATATTATGTCAAAATTGTATTCTCATGGAATTCAGCATTTTATTACTATGCGAGTTCCGCGGAATTTGGTATTTCCTTTGTTCTTTCGTGATGCTTAGTTTAGGAATTTCAGCACAAATCAGTAGGCCTAGGCCATGTCGTCCAGCCCACGGCTAAATGGGTAAGTGGCTCACGGGACTTCGCAGCGAGCAGTCCTTGGAGCCGGTGTCCAGATAAAGGACACACACTGACCACTGATATGAAGTGTTCCTAAAGTTGTGGTACTCGGCCAGTTTCTTATCTCCGCTTTGTAGGGATTCTTCTTACAGTAATTAACAACTCTAGTTCCTGGAAGTTCACGTGAAGCTTCAGGGATGTGTCTGGCAAGTGCCTCCTGGTGGCCGCACTGAACAGTACACGTTATCGTTTACTGTGCTTGTAATTGTACCATCTCTGAAGAGTGGCTTACGTAATGGACATGGCCTTCAAAAGTTTCTGAATCTTATCGTATCGATGTTGGTATATTTCCAAATAAAGCTTTATTTAAAATGCACTTATATCAATTTACCGGGTCTTCTCGCTGACTTTATTATGGATATATTCGATGGTGTAATGGTATAAGTTATAACTCTTCCAACTCTACTCCCTATGGGCCACTTCTATTAAATCATATAAGTATAACCGCATCTTCCTGAAATAGGTTTGGTAATTTGTAGCACGGAAGTATTATTGTGTTATAATTACATGACTGTCATAAATCTCTATTATTAATCAACTATTTACAGCAAACACAAGATAATAGAAATTAAATCATAAAATCGAGTGGCCGAGTAGTCTCGACTCACCCATAACTTCTCCAAAGACGTCTATCATGAGCTTTGTACACTAAATCGTTGAAATTACTTAAACTAAATCTTTTATTTACAATCACAATAATTTGTTTTGTCATAATGTCTTTTAATAATAAATCAAATAAATTTGAACGAGGTCTGCCCCTCCTTCCTTTGTAGTCAAAACATGCAAATCTGAAAGATAAGAAGGCGGGAGTGTCATCACCGCCTCTGAGAACGTGCCCAAGCATCTTCCATCTTGCTTTCTTGATCCTTTCAGTAAGGGGTCTGACATTACATCTTTTATATAAATTCTCGTTACTGATAACCGTAGGCCAATAGGTGTTGATTATCTGTCTCAGATGCTTTCTTTGAAGAACGTCGACAGATGCCATTACGGTTTCAGGAGCAGCCCAGCTGCTACAGTTATACAACAACACTGAAGTGACAAGAGCTTCGTACAGCTTCAGCTTTCTACTCTCACTGATCTGAACAGAACTATTCAACCAGACTTTCTTGTAGGTGTAGAAGGCAACATTGGCTTTGTTGCGTCTGTTGACAATATCTCTTTCTGAGCAGAGCTTTGATCCTAATAGCACTGACTCTCGCCACTCTTCATTTCCTCTAATTTTATTGCCATGGGCATCTAAAGCATCTGTATCTGCCAAAAACACTCTTGTAAACACCGTCTTTGATTCGTTAACAAAGAGACTCCAATCCTTTAGTATATCACTGGCAATCTCTAATATCTTCACCAGGCTCTGACCATCTTCACTCAGAAGCTCAGCATCGTCAGCATAGGCGGACTCTAACGGGAGGCCTCTATCAGAGACTGGGGGGTTCGGTCTAGGAATCGTGACACTGATCACGGCTCTGATGTGATTCAGGGCATCGGCAAGGGTCAATGTAAACACTTTACCTGCCAGACTGTCTCCCTGGTAAGCGCCAATATTAATCACAAATTCACCAGACTCAGATCTGTTGACCGTCACCTTGAGCTTTGTATTTGAGAGGAGGTACTGAACTAGGCGAATGTCGGCTCTAGAGCATCCTGCATCAATGAGGAGGTTGATGATGGTCTGTCTGCGGATAGTATTAAACGCAGCGGTCATGTCAATGTTGATTTTACATAAATCTCTAATCTCTATCAATAAACTGCTGTATATAATTTGAATTTATTTATTTATTACCTTTTGTAGCTATATTGTGTGGTAACTCAGTGAGTTATTGCTCCGAGCAACCGCTACAGGTAGTCCTTATTACCAACAAGCTAGCTAGCTACTGATTGCTATAAAGACTTTAACCTACAGTATACAGATACTGTAGTACTGTAGTAGGTATACTAGAGGGTTATTTCCTACACTCTAACAGTCTTGGCACCCTCTCGGTCTCATCGTAGATTGAAACTTGTTTTGAAATCGCATTTGATTAAGAGCCAACCTTTTTCGTCTACTTGATTCAAATACAAGGTCTTTATCTTGAGTTGGTTACCAGCTATATGTACAGTGTACACACTGATCTCCAAAACATTGTGTCTTTATTGGCCTGTTGTTTGGAACATAGCTCTGTGTGATCTCAAGCAGTAGTCTTTACGGTGAGCGTTCTGTTCGTTCTGTTATATGTTGAGGGGGAGGCAGGGTATCTGAAAAACAAGTTACTCTATAAGGGACTAAAGGGACTTGTTTCCTCCCCAGTCACCTGGTTATATAACACTACATTATGTTGTGTTGTTGTTGGATAGTTTAAAAGTCGTAAAGCTACTGAGGGGAGGCTGGGCATTTTCATGAGCCATCTACTTGAAGATGTAATTAATGAAATGTATTCCTATTGATTGAAGTCTAGTTAGTCCCAGGCATAGTATTACATCTTTTCTCAGTGTCGATTATTATTAGCAAGCTCATATGAGCTTATCGTAACATGTTTACTGTATAATTCCTATGATGCGCATATTCATTATTCAGTCTCTACATAACACTATTGTCTAATTTATCGTAGTCATAATTATACCTATTATAATTTATAATACCTTTATACAGTGGGTTGCCTTATCTTTTCGTCATTCCTGAATGAGCACATTTTTGGCGTGCACGTCACGTGATATTGTTAGCAGTGAGTGTAATTAGGAGTCTGAAGAATTTGTCTAGCACAAGGCCCAGACCCTTCGGCGTATCTATAGTAAATATTGTGTCGATGTAACATCTCTGACACCACTTAAAACTGAGGAACATGGAGGTGTTCACAACATCCAAATTAGCAAAAAGCCCCCCCCCCCCCCCCCCCCCCCAAAAGTGACAGAGAGTAAAGGTTAGGGTATTGCACACCATTTCCTGGAGTTTCACCCCGTTCCAAAATGTATCCACCAAATTATGCCAAAAAACCTGATTTTTGGCAAATTTTAACATTTTTTCCGTGACAGATGTTTTTGAAAGTGCCCCATAGTATTTTATTAGTATACCTAATACCTATCATAATATTATATTGATAGGCATCATGTAGCCGGTGGGCCCGACATGATACGACATATCTTGACACGTCGGGGTTTGTCAGGGTTTGTCGGGGTTTGTCAGGGTTTGTCGGGTTTGTCGGGTGTGTCGGGGTTTGTCAAGCCTGGGGGTTTTTTTTATTTATTTATTTATTTTATTTATTTTTTTTTAAATTAATTTATTTATTTATTTTTTTTTTGAGTCTCCCAACAAAAAGCCGAGACGGAGTCATCAAGCTTTATGTGGAAGAACACTACACAAGAAGGCATCATGTAGCCGGTGGGCCCGACATGATACGACATATCTCGACACGTCGGGGTTTGTCGAGCCTGGAGGCTACATGATGCCTATTGATATTTTCTGATTCGACTAAGTGTAATATTTTTTACGGTAAACTTCAGTTTCGGAAAGTGTGTTAAAATTTTCTATTGTTATTATATTCTATTGTTGTAGTCTAGTTTGCTGTAACAATCTCTATCGCGATTTTTTAACGTATTTCCATGATACGCAGATTGAACGTTAAGCTTGTAGACAGTAAAGCTTATAATATAACATATTTATTTATTCATGATAAAATTATGATACTAAAAAGTAAAAGATGTGGCTAGTACAGCTAACCACGGGGTGTTGCATATTATGAGCTTATTATTAGAGATATTTGTATGCGTCATATCCATACTTTAGCAAGTACTGACGATTGTTCTATAATACGTTAATTTTAATTCTATGTTACATAGTTGTAATTGTTAAACTGTTACGTTTTTATTGATTTTAGTGACAGTATTACAATCGTTTAAAAATTTATTTCACTTTTGCTTTTTTACAAAAAAAGCCCCCACTTTCGGGACTTTAACCGCATTTCCCATTTATTTTTCAACTTTTGGTCAAATGGGCATCGATGGAGAAGCCCCCCCCCCCCCCCCACCCCACTGCTGCCAAGACAAACCTCATCTATATCTCTCTCTAATAACAGTCAACATACACTCTCCACACAGATATATAAGCACAATTAATAACGTCATGTTTATTTTCTCTCTTTTCATAATAACCGCACATTACAACAGCCCGAACAAGTTATAATGATGTAATATTTTTCCTCAGAGCACATTACTCATCAGAGACCATGAAATTATTTTCTTTCCTAACCCTACATTATTCTCCTAGGTATAGTATGATGTAATGGCTGTCTACACGGGATCGTTATTGGACCTATGTTATTGGACCTATGTTATTGGACCTGTGATGGAGGAGGTATCGTGCGTAGTAATTTTTTCTTTTTTGTAAATTGATAATTTTGACAGCCGTACACTACACCTGTTTACCGGTTGGAAACTGAAAACTGTGCTAACTTGGTTGGTTTCGGAGGAATAGTATTTGGGTGGTGGGTATTTCAGCGCAGGGGGGAGGCGATGCAGGCGGCCCCTGTTTCAGCTGCAGTGCACGCCTTGAAGGGCACTGCATTTCGGTGATGTTCAGTAGCTGTCGGGGGAGGTGAGCCTAGCTAACGAGTTTCAGTTAGTAAAAGAAAAGTGACGTATCCTTCTTTGTGTTCTTATTCAACCTCTTAAATTGGAAAATGATGTCATGTTGTTCTGCAGAACGAGTCACATTCTTGGTAAATAACTGTCATCACAGTCCCACACACACTCTTATTTACCTCCTCCGACCAGTAAAACAAGTAAATAGTGTTCTGTGTAGTTGTTCTGCGGAACCAGCCAGGAATTTATTGACCTACTGTATTTCCCGTTCTTTAGTCCACACTTTTGATTTCTACGGAATAGAAACTGGAATAGGACATAGGTGAACTAATGCCGGAATTGGCCAGGATGATGCTCTTAGAGGATGCCGGAATGATGCCGGAAACAAGATCATCTTGTGAACGTCCTCGGTAGTCACGCATAATATTTATTTGCGTTCATGTGGAACAGCCACGTATTTGGCCGTTGACGTACGTGGCTGTTGACGTTTGAATATCATAAACACGTCGGTGGGATATTCTCATGGCCTCTGCAAGACCTAAACATTTAGTTGGCGGAGAGTCTCAATTTCTTTGTTATGTCCGCTCTGTAAGTGTTTTACAACACGTCAGATTGTCAGTCGGTTAAGGAGCAGTAAGGTTAGGAGCATTAAGGAGTAGTGGCGTAACAAGTCGTGTTTATTTGGTTTGAATTATGAATGAAGCTTGGTTTTGTCCTCCTTTAGAATTTTTTCTCATGATACTATGAAGTTTATCGAGCTGTGTTGTCAATATTATTACCAGAAAGTAGCGTAGACTTTTTATTTGATTAGAGAACCGTCCGTGACTTGTAATAATAGCATATCACTTTTGGGACTTTCGCTTTATACATATTACTAGTGTAACCCGGCAACTATGTTCTAGACCAATTAATAATATTGGATTGGAGATGGACCTTTGATGTTCTGAGGAACACTTTACTTTCGTTTGATTGGCTGTGCTATCACGTGACACGTCTGTACTTTCGTGAACAGTTAATAAAACAGAAAATAGCTGGATACTTATACTTTTATTTGATTGAGAATCTAGCCGAGTTCGGCCCGGCGCGGACGAGACTTGTGATATTGACATATCACTTTGATCGATATTATTATTGTGGTACTTCCAGTTCATGGACACAATGAGCTCGATATGTCAGCCCCAACCTTGTACAGTTTCACGAAAACTTCTCGATAAGTGTGACTAGTAGCAGTGTGACTAGCACTGGATTTGCAATAAATGATGTTAATTTATTCTGGCTCTGTTTCTCAGGAACGATTTATGTATAAATTCAAGTGTTGAATTCGGCCTTACGAGATCTACAGTCGAACTTGCACTTAAAATGTTTATAAGCACACAGGCCACGATCTCCATTTGTTGCTATTTCACTAATACTACCAGTTTTGTGTTATAAACGTCTTTATTTGGTGGAATAATTTCCACATCTAGTACAAATCAGAGCATTCCAGGCACAGTTCCACGTCAGCAGAAGTAGACCGTGAACCTTTTAAGCAGAAATTGAGAAATTTGCGCAACTTTAACAGAGCATTTCTACTTTAATGCAGTACGATTACAGTTAAATTTGTACGACAGCTTAGAACATTAAGACTGTAATTAAGAGTAGAACTAGAAGTTCCACTCCAGTTCCTCTCTGGTACTGTACTTGTTGTTCAGTATACAATTCCGTATTACATCTCAGCTCCAGGCACAGTTCCACGTCAGCAGAAGTAGACCGTGAACCTTTTAAGCAGAAATTGAGAAATTTGCGCAACTTTAACAGAGCATTTCTACTTTAATGCAGTACGATTACAGTTAAATTTGTACGACAGCTTAGAACATTAAGACTGTAATTAAGAGTAGAACTAGAAGTTCCACTCCAGTTCCTCTCTGGTACTGTACTTGTTGTTCAGTATACAATTCCGTATTACATCTCAGCTCCAGCTCCCCTCGCATGCAGTATACCTGATATATCACGCACGTGACTCAGCATGTGGGCATAACACAACACGTGCAAGCCCACGTGGGGTATGACGTGACACACTTGCCAGTAACACGTGGTACATTTGACGGACACACTTTTCACCACTTTTTCAGCCTCGACTTCCATCGCCGTGACCCGCCAAATATACGGCCC